CTTTTGACACTTAAGTACAAAAAATATCAGATACTTTTAAAACTTTTACTCAAGTAATATTATTAGAGAATACTTTAACTTTTCCAAAGTATTTTTATGATAAGATACTTGTACTTTTACTGAAGAATCACTTTGAGGTACTTTATACGACTCTGGACACAGTGTCGTCTGAACTGATTTAATGAAAGGCCTGACTGCTGACAGAAACTGATGATACTTCAGAATATTTGATCTATTTATTGCTCTATAATCTATTTACTCAAGTCTTTTAATAAAGAYGAACAGAAGAGCTAATGCCACGCATTTAGAAAATACAAATTATAAAATTTAAGCCTAAAKAAGTTCTGCCATAAATATAAAACGTAAGGTTTATAAACAGGGATTGGCTGATTGCCTGATGAATGCTGAGTCAGAATAAAATGTTCACCTGAAACAGCGGGGTGTGTTCAGGTGAGACTGCAGTGACGACACGGGACTATCCATCCGGTCAGGCCAGTCTCTGAAACAATTCAAAATATATGAACCACCCATCAACTCTGGAACAATTAGAAATGAAAATCCTTTTGAAACGTTTMACATTCCTGTCAAAGTTCACATACGGAGTGATTCAGGAGTAAAAACTTTATTGTTCCAATCACATATCAGACATTAGGCGGGCAGAGATTAGTCCAGGGGTAAGGAATGCAGATCAGAGCTATGGGGTGCCCTGTAGGACTTAAAGTACACACACACACACACACACACACACACACACACACACACACACACACACACACACACACACACACACATGCATACTACAGACTCAGAACAGGTTCAGGTCTGTGTGAATGACTGAATGCTGGGTGGAGTCTCTATAAACACGATTGTTCCTGTTCCACTGAGATCTTCTGAAATTAAAAAATAAAAGCTTCTGAATGTTTTCTTAAGTGTAGATGATTGGAAACCAGAGCAAACACACTTAATGTTAAGTTCAGCTGAAGATCGCTGTCCTAGTATTTTTAGTAACCTGTCCCATATGSCATAATTGTGCTGACTGTGCATGTTTTTAGTTTGGATCCACTCTGGTGTCWGTTGATCTGTGTTCACACGTTTCACTCATGTTCTTACAAACATTTTCACCAGCTTCAGTTTTTACAAAAACAGTTTTTCCTAATAACCTGCTGCTTTTCTTCCTTTCCATTCTGATGGGTTTAAAAGAAAACTCTGAAACATACATTAGGATTAAATTAAACCAGGAATTCTTTTGTTGTTTGAAGACGGCACACGTAAAATTACAAGTGGAATTTTTCATTTATTATAAACAGTTTTTAAAAATACCTCAAGCTGAACTTTAAACTTTTGATTTAGTTAAGAACAGCTGTTTAATTATTTGATACAGAATTAATCAGAGCTTTAATCTTTTCCCCCAACCTCTAAAACATTTAGTCTTTTTGGTAGAATTTAGGTCTTTACTTTTCAATGCACTGTATATTTTTATATTTACTCCTAATAGTCCAAAAATAGTGTTTTATGAGGTTCTACAAAAGCTTGGGATWATAAAACTGTCTGACGAGGGATTGGGGGAACGAATCTGATGAGAGTCTATGAATAAATGTGATCTGAATAATGAAAGAACAACAATATGTAAAATGTCTTCAAAGTTAAGATATAAAAATGTAGCCTGAACAAGATGAGTTTAGAAAAACAGAAGATCAATGATTCAAATAATAACATATATTTAAATCCAAAAGTCAAAGTAATAAATCAAAATAGGTACAAAGAGCCAACAAGGTTTGTTCCTGTTAAAGTGGATCATGTTTGAGTAAAAMGTTTAATTTACACTTCAACTGTTTTAACAAAGTGGTGAACATGGCCCAACCGTAAACCTGTGCCGTTTTCCTCTGTCCTTCAGGAGCAAGTCTTTCATGTTCAGTGCTCTGTACGCCGCCCTGGTGTTTGGAGGTCAGCACCACATGAAGACTCGAGCCAAACTGAACCTACGAGTGCCGCTCGTCCTCTGGTCTCTGAGCCTCGCCGTGTTCAGGTAACACCTTTTTATAGGATCTTCAGTCTCTAAAAGCTTTGAAGTCAAGAATATATTTATCTTTTTCTTTTTAAACTTGTATTCATTCAGACATTTACATAAGTATTTTTTCCCAAAAGAAAAAATATTCTGGTTAAATTTAGAAAATGGGCCATAATTTGTCAACTATAGTGAAAAGCTCACAAGCTGACCCAAGTTATACAGTTTAAGTGCAATGGTACCAAATACTAATGAAGAGACTTTTGACTTTGAAGAAATTAATCAAAACTGCCTAAAAGAATTCTCTCGTTATTCTGGCATTTAGCAAATGGAAATAATGTTTAACTCTAAGTGACCTAAAATGGGAAACGTTTATTATGACTTCACATCAGACAGTGTGAAAAAAAAGTATTTTTATAGAGTGTATGTAAACTTCTGGTTTCAACTGTATCTTTAGTACTTTAGTTTTATTTTAACTGGTTGAATCCAGTGAAGCTGAGATGAGCTGGTTTCTCATGGATCTGTTTTCTGCTCTGTGGTTTCAGCATCATCGGGGCGGTTCGGACTGGTTCCTACATGTTTCACATCCTGAGCTCCTGTGGCTTCAAGCACTCCATCTGTGACCAGAGCTTCTACATCGGACCGGTCAGCAAATTCTGGGCCTACGCCTTCGTTCTCAGCAAGGCTCCAGAACTCGGTCAGTTTAATATAGTTCTGCTGTTTGAAACGCACGAGTCCAGTCGTGCTTTTGACCCATCTCAATCTGGTTGTAAACACTCAAAAATACATTTACAAATTAATTAAAACCAGGATTTTTAAAAAAGTTTATTTGTGCTGGTTTACAAAAGAACACATTTTCACAGAAATAAGCCTAAACCTAAGCAAGGWTTAAAGGTCACAGTTTGAGCTGACAATGACACAACTGGTAAAAGGTACTAATGTTAATTGATGGGTACTACATCTCCAATACTGGAAGTATTCACAAATATTTTGATTCAACACTAAATCTTAAATGGACTTTGACAASTACAGATTTAAATGATCAAATAAACAAACAAAAAAAAACACATTTTAGCTCCCACCCATACAGGTGATTTCAGCAGCTTAATGAAATGGATGGTTTTATTTTAATTTAATGTTTTAAGATTTGCCATGTCCTCAGTTTCAGATAGTTCTGTATCAGACAGGGTGGGAGGTGGTTTCACAAACCTTCATAACTGATGGACAAGCTAATGTGTCCATCTTTACTTCTGTGAATTCAGCATGCTTCACACTGGAGTCTGTCAGCAGAATAATAATAATAATAATAATAATATAACCCATAAAACCAACCCTTCCTGCTCTCCCCCACACCTTGGGACAGTTTACAGATTAACAGTTAACCTAGCATGCATGTAATCGATCTGTGGGAGGACAGTGGACCACCAGAGAACTCGTACTGGAGAACAGAGACCCCTAGAGGGAGCTAATGTGCCAYACTGCCCTGAAACTGAAGAAACACCGGCTGCTGAAAAACTGTCTGGATGACCAGATGAACAGATTCTGTCTTCAGAATGAAAGCGAACATTGACTGCTCTAAGTCTGAATGAACTTGAGTTGTAGTTGATCTTCTCACTAATCCTGTGTTTTCTGTTGTTTGGTCAGGAGACACAGTGTTCATCGTGCTCAGGAAGCAGAAGCTCATCTTCCTGCACTGGTACCACCACATCACCGTGCTGCTCTACTCCTGGTACTCCTACAAAGACATGGTGGCTGGTGGCGGCTGGTTTATGACCATGAACTACTCGGTGCATGCGCTCATGTACAGTTATTACGCGGCTCGTGCCGCCGGGCTGCGCGTGCCCCGCCCCTTTGCTGTGCTCATCACCAGTGCTCAGATAGCTCAGATGGGCATGGGGCTGACTGTGAGTGGGCTGGTGTACAGCTGGATGCAGCAGGGTAACTGCCACTCCCACCTGGACAACATCACCTGGGCCACGCTCATGTACCTGAGCTACCTGCTGCTCTTCTCCAACTTCTTCTACCACACGTACGTGCGCTGCCACGCCAAGACCACCAAGACTGACTGAGCGCAGGGATTAGTCTGATTCCAGACTGCTGAAGCTGCTGCAGACATTTAAAAATCAGCAAAAGCTTTCTGAAACACACTTCATCAGTTTCATGTCTTCAGATGAATGTTAAGAATCATGTAGTTGTTTAAATGTGGAATATTTGAAAATGAGGGTATAAATATGAACTTTTTAAATACACAAACACTAACTTGCGTATGGAGGAGTACACAACCTGTCAGTAACTTTCCCAGTATATTTGTTTGAAGGAATATATTTGGACTGGTGTTCAGGTGAAACTGCATGGATGAAAATGTGACACTAACTCAGGACAGATGTTTTCCTCCACTGGTTGAACTGGTTTTACTGCTGTAAGACCTGCTGACATCAGACTCAGGAAATGTTTTAAAACCTGTTGTAAAATAATTAAAAGCAGCAAACTTGTCACAATGAAGCAAAAACATTTGATTTAATGACTTCAGTTGTATGAATGTCAGAATGTAGCTTTACAGTGTACATACATGACTGTTAACAGGACAAATGACTTGATTGTACCCCCCCCCCCCCYCTTTAAAATCAGTTTGTAAATCGCAGGTTGATGACAGAAGTTTTCATATTTTCTAGAAACATTTTGGGCAGCTGAATTTGATTTAATTATAACATGTATGATGGTGAACATGTCAGAATTTGAAGAAAAGAGCAGCAGAATTCTGAAAAAGCTGTGACTTSATAAAATGACAGGATTATTCACTGCATGAACAAAGTATTTGGGACTCGATGTTTTTAAAAATGGTCCACATACAAGTGGAAAATATGGATGTTTTTATGTTTAACATTTATTTATTGTGAGATTGTAATAAAAAGTTAATTGTTACTTGTCTCCATTTTCCGTACCTTTAGTTGAAATTTATGTTGACCTATTTGATGGGCCCAAAGCTTCAGTTTTTTGAGTTTTTGTAAATAAATTTGAACCATGTTTTCATAAATCCTCCGTGTCTCTCTCTTGCTGGCCTACGTGAACCCTCACAGAGTTAATGAAATGTTAATCATTGAGTGTACACCTGTATAACTGATTATTTTGTGAAGTCAAGATGGCTTCCACAGCAAATCAACATTGTGAAACGAATGGCAACAACTTGGTCCATTTCACCAAGTAAAGCTGAAATTTGGTTGCGGAGTCATCCTCAGCACATTTTATTATGACCCCCGCACACGAAGCACGAGCGGGAGTCATATTGTTTTCGTACTGTTTGTTTATTTGTTTGTTTTTCTCTGGAGATTTTTGGTCAACAGTAGCACAAAATTGGCTGCACCAGTCAACATGAAGCCTCTCCTTGGGCTGCTACCTTATCATGGTGGAGAGGTTTGAGTGTCCCAATGATCCTAGGAGCTATGTTGTCAGGGGCTGCATGCCCACAGTAGGGTCACCCAAGGCAAACAGGTCCTAGGTGAGGGATCAGACAAAGTGCAGCCCAAAGACACCTATGATGAGTACTATAAATTGATTCAATGGGCCTCATGTAAGAACCATTCGTACGCACAGATTTGTTCTTAAGTTGTGCGTACGAGTGATTTAGGAGAATTTGTGGCATTCACCAATGTTTTCATATTCTAAGAT